AATGATGGACTAATTAATTTGTGCACAGTTTTAAAGTCTCTGTATCCTGACAAGTTAACAAATATGATAAATGGTAATTTCAAGCAAACTTACGTGCATTTAGCACTTTAAACTCTGGTCAAATCTGAGGGACTGTCATTGATACTGTGGAATGTTTTCAGCTTCTTAGTCTTCCTTAGGACTGGGCTCCCAAGTCAAGCCCTCTCTGATTGTCCATCTTGCTGTAAATGCTGGCTCGTGGTTATGTCTCCTAACCTTGACTGTTTGCCATGCTGTGGCCTCGTTTGCCATTCTGATCAGAGACCAATTCCCTATTTCTAGAGTTACATGTATATGCACATGTAATTTTGTTAGTGAATTTGTGTTTGCTGTCATGAATTGTAGGAAAATAAAACTAAGATGTATCATCTGCTTCCTGCTTATACTTTCTGTTAGGTACTTCTTTATTTTCTTTAAACTTCACTCTTTGTGAACAGAAAGTTTACTTGCACAATGAACCCATATGTAAGGAAATATACATATAGAAACAAATGAGGCAGGGAGGCCACATTAACTTATTCAAAGTTATGCATGTAAAAAAAGTGGGGCCACAATTAATACACAGAACACCATACCCTTTTCCAAAGAGTGTTTCTCAAAGACTACTTGCAACAGAATCTCCTCAGGCACTTGTTTAAAATGTACATTTGTAGTTTCCACCCCTGTCTCATGGAAATCTAGAGATGGGTCCTAGAAACACTGCCCTAGTGTATCCAGGAAGTTCATAGAAATGATAGACTTTTAAATGATCAGGAAACATTGCAATAAAGGATGTGAAATCCAAATCACTTTTCCACTTGAAGCATAGTTTTATGGAAAGTGTCAGGCACCTGACAATAAGGGTTTATAGTGACAAATGTCTTTTCAGGCTGATTATGGTGTTATGCTAAGTTGATACCAATAAATCTTTTCTACAAAGCTCAAGTCTTAGTCCAGGCTGGCAGTAAATCATTTTCCCTGGCACCACAGTTTCAAAAGGAAAGCCAGTGAGGACAATATTATGAATGTTGCTTTTTTGGCACTAGTTATCTAAAGATTAGTTGCACTGGAATAAATTTTTGTCTCATGACCTGTTTTTAAATTAAGAATAGAAAAATATAGTCATTCATCCATGTAGAAATAATAAAGACTGGAAATAGTGAAGTAAACCAGAGACTAAGACGTCTGAAAGGAAGGCAGCTTTCTATGCATTAAATACACAGGCTTCTTTTTTTTAATGAATAAAGTTAAGGTATACCACATTAACATTCAATGAGGCACCAAAAAAATGTTAATTAGCAAACAGGACTTTATTAACCTGCTAGTTAGCACTAATTTAGGTTAAGAATTTCTAGATGGGGCACAGTGGCTAAGGCCTGTAATTCTAGTACTTTGGGAGGTGGAGGGAGGCAAATTGCTTAAGCCCAGGAATTCAAGACCAGCCTGGGCAATATGGTAAAACCCCATCTCTACAAAAAATACAAAAATTAGTAAGCTTGATGGCGCATACCTATAGTCGCAGCTACTCGGGAGGCTGAGGGAGAATGACTTGAGCTTGGGAGGTAGAGGCTGTGGTGAGCCAAAACCATGCCACTGCACTCCAGCCTGGGCGATAGAGCCAGACCTTGTCACAATAAATAAATAAATAATAAAATTAGTTCATCCTTGAACAACACGGTGGTTAGGGGCACTGACCTCCTACACAATAAAAAATAATCCAAGTATAACTTTTGACTTCCCAAAAACTTAACTACTAACAGCCTACTATTGACCGGAAGCCCATAACATAAACAGTTGATTAACACCTATTTTGTATGTTAATATATTATGTATTGTATTCATTCTCACAATAAAGCAGGCTAGAGAACAGAAAATGATGTTAAGACCATAAGAAAGAGAAAAATACATTTACTATTTATTAAATGGAAGTGGATCATTGTATAGGTCTTCATCCTCACTGGGTAGGCTGAAGAGGAGGACGAGGGGTTGGTCTTGCTGTCTTGGGGTGGCACAGGCTGAAGAGATCAAGGAGGTGGAAGGGGAGGCAGGAGAGGCAGGCACACTTGGGGCAACTTTTATTGAAAAAAATCTGCATATATGTGAAGCTGTGCAGTTCAAACTCGTGATTCAAGGGTCCACTGTGTCATCATTTTTTTTACTTTTTAACAAATAGCCTTTCCAAATGGGTAACAGAATTGTACCCTATCCTGACAAGTTGGGGGTGCATGAGGGGGAGAGGAGGAGGCAGCCCTTCCTGGCTCACCTGGGAAGTCTCTACCTGGGCTTATCCCCTCAGCATGGAAAGGGCAGGCGACAGGCCACCCAGGGTAGAATACAATAGTTGACTTTGATTAAAGGCTTTATCTATGAAAGAGGTGACAGCAAGGATGGAAACAATCAAATAACCTGCCTGTTCATGCTAATTCTGCCACCAGAGGCACCAAGAGAGGGCAGGAATTGAAAATGAAAATATAGTATAGTCTGTCAGCCCTCACAGCTCCACTGACTCACATGGGTGCCTAAAATAGTGGTACCTGTCCCGGCACTTGTGTATTCTCTCTTTGGGGTAGTTTTCTATATTTCTTTTGATTGGATACTGCCTGTCATAGACTCTCCAGGGAAATATGAAAAAAAGACAACTGCTGTAACCTGTATATAACATATGAAGACTTTCTGTAGCAAAGATTCTATTGGAGAATCAGTTTATAACCCTCACTACTCCCCCAGAGCAGTGCAATCAGGCTTTCCTTCCCCAAAAAGCACCAATCTGTCCTTTTCAATTTCAGTGCCACTATTGATGCTCCCTTTAATGTGATTTTTCTCTAAAGAAAATGCTAGAAGAGTGACATATTATGGGATGTTCCACAGGGCCCGATGGTGTAGGAAAAGATGGTGTCTGGTCTTGATGGTAGTAGTCAAAATCAAAACAGGAGTGTGACATCCCAAACAGGAAACTGCTTTTATCTAAGGACCAGCCACTAATGATTAATCCAGGTTTGCTCTTGGCACCACGAGATTGCTCTTCTGGTCTTGTTTTGTTCAGGACATCCCTGACAGACTTGGTGTTTTCTGTGGAAAGTCCTGAGATAGCATTTCTTCAGGGCAAGTGGTAATTAATTAACCTGTTTTGTTTCATTCAGATTGTTCTTCATTCCTAAGAACTAAGGTGCCCACCTTAATATTTTAATATTTAGACTGAGTATCTGTGTTTAAGCACATCTTTTGGCATGCCTGCACTTTCAGCTTTGTAAAAAAAATTTACTAATATATCTGATTTTCAAAAAAGAAGTTATCTAGTATATATAATTGACATATTTTTCAGTTTACTCAGCAATATTTTAATCATGTATTTTTGACTGTACATCCTGACGACAATTCAGTATGGCTGCCCTGATGTCAAATCAATTCTTACACTGAAACCAGTCATATTAAGTTATGTTAGATATTGTTTTGTGATTGACATTTAAATATTTGTTTCCATTTTGTATTAAACTAAACAAGAATATGCTCACAAAAAGTAAAAGATAAATACAAATTATAAATGTTTATGAATGTATGTATGAAAAATCAATGTTACTATTTTTCATAAAGAAGAAATGAGTACAGGAAATATATTTTAATGGCTTTTAGCATGAGCTTTACAGTCAAACTGATCCCCCCAGCTGTGCTGAGTACTGTGTGTCCCCTGACCCATTTAAACCCCCATTTTTTTTAAATCTGAGAAATAATAGTACCATCTCTGAGTGTATGGTAGGGATTAGAGAAAATAACATTTATAAAGTTGTAAGCATAGTGCTTAACATATAGTGATAATACCTGGGAGTTATTAGACACTATGTTGATACTTATATCTTTGGTAGTGGTTTTTCTTTCTTTTTTTTTTTTTTTTTTTTGAGATAGTCTTGCTCTGTCACCCAGGCTGGAGTGCAGTGGTGCAATCTCAGCTCACTAAAACCTCCACCTCCCAAGTTCAAGCGATTTTCCTGCCTCAGCCTCCAAAGTAGCTGGGACTACAGGCATGTGCCACCATGCCTGGCTAATTTTTATATTTTTTTAGTAGAGATGGGGTTTCACCATGTTGACCAGGCTGGTCTCGAACTCCTGACCTCAAATGATCTGCCCTCTTTAGCCTCCCAAAGTGCTGAGATTACAGGCATGAGCCACCACACCCAGCCTATGTCTTTGTTTTTTAGTATTGGAACTCTTGAAAAGCCAGGTTATTAATTAAGTATAAAATCTCTTCCTTAGGCTGGTTAGAGTTGAAAAATATTATATTCTGGAAACCAATAGATCTAATTAAAATAAATTGGAGGAAAGTACTTAAACCATTTATGATAGTAGAATCAAACTTAAAATCCATTATGCCCCAAATCAAACCCCTCTTCTCCACATTCCTACCCCAAATCTGCTCTGCTCACCATCTTCCTCATTTCATTCAACAGTAAATTCATCATTCCAGGTGCTCAAACTCAGAACATCAGAGTTATCCTTGACTCCTCTTTCTCCTTGCACATGCCTCATCCAATCCATCTACAAATCCTGATAGTTCTTCCTTCAGGATATTGGACTACTTATTTCCACATCCTCTACTATTTCACCCTGGTCTAATCTTAAACATGTTTTTAATCAAACTTCACTTTGGTTTGCATTCCTTTAAATATAAATAAGTATAAAAATATTCATTACTGTTTTTTTCCAGTTTGCATTTTATATTTTGGGCATGACCTTCCAAAACTTCTCTATAGGTATTTTTTAAATAATATAAATCTCAAAATAAAGAATGCAAATTATTTTACTGCTCTTCATACAGTAATGCAGTTAAAACATATCATAAAACCTTTACTCAAATAAATCATGATATAAAAATGCAGTAATTCCAAACCTTTAAATTGTCATTTAATTATCAGTGTTTAATTATCAGTACAAGTTGTATTGCATTAAACTAGCAAGTCTTGTGTCATTAACTGTGGGATGACTCTGTACTTTGTCAGCATCATTTCTATATCTTTTTTGTTTCACTGTTTGCTTTTATTCTATTGGGGAATTATTAGAGCCATGAAAATGAAGCGTCAAAGAGTAGAAAGAAGACATGTGCTACTTGGCCTTTTGCACTGATCCTCACTAACCCATGTTTTCATGAGCACCAGATTCACCAAGTTTTAAAAGAGGAACAGCAAGTGTTTGATGATGAAGGAAGTTTGGATTTAATTTTCACTTTGAGACACATGGATATTATTCCCTGGAAAAACGCTGGCATTTTGAAGATGTTCAAGTGCTCTTTCTCCAGAAGCTACCAATGACTTCGACTGTATGTGAGGCTCCGGTGGCTCTGAGCACTGTCAGAGCAGAGATGTTAGAAACCAGATGTTAGAAACCTCCTTCATTCATCCTGTAAGATCAGACAAAGGTGTTGCTGGACTTTCCTGCCACCCAGTCCTTGAAGCAGCAACTAGCACACAGAATTTGACCTTACAGAACAGTGATTCAAATTATATGGAGCAAAACAAAAACAGAAACAAAAACAGGCAGCAATAAGAAAGATAACTGGTCGTGCACTTTCCATGCACCCAGGACTATTTCAACCATATTTCATGTATTATTTCATTTCACCCCGAAAATATAAACACACAGACAGTTGTGAGCCTTCTCCAGGTGAATAGCTGCAAGTAGAGTTATGAAGAACACCCTAAATCTTCAGAGTAGCTCAAAACCACCTTGCAGACAAATATAGAAAAAACTTAAGGTAGAAGCTTTATAATTACAGTCAATTATGTATAGAAAATCCTTCATTGATAAGTCATAGCAGCCCATTGAATAAACATTGGGTCCAAGATACTCCATGGGTATAACCCAGAAGTGGCAATAATCTTGTCCTCACCATTGCTAAAATTGTTTCTTAACCTTATCCTTGTTTGTCACATCAGAAATTTGAGATGTACTAGATTTTTAAAAAGAATTCCTGCATTATTTAATATTTGTCCCTTTCCATTTTTTATGTATATATTTCATTTTCTTAGCCAAGAAAAAATTTTTCTGGGTAACTTTTTCTCTACTATTATGACTAACATTTTAATATTTTTCCCCCTAGAGTTGGAACAATGACCACGGTATCACAAATATTTCTTACATTCATTCCAGGGAAGGAAAAAGTTTAAACTCAAGTAGCTGCTCTTTATCACTAGCTCAGGTGGTGGAAGGAAAATATCACCCCTTACTAAGTGTGTCTTCTTCACCTTTCCGTCTTCCTTTGCACGTTTTCTCAGTTCAGTCTTTGAAGTGGTATCTACTAACAGAGAGTTCAGATGACAGTCATTGCATGGTCCTTCTTCCTAAGACCCAAGTTAGCTAAACCACAAACTTGAAGTGAAATAAGTAATCTGAAATGTAAACATGATATTCTGTGCTGATTTGCGGATTCTAGTAGCCTTTTATCACCTTCTTTTGGCTCTCACACCCTGTTGTCTTTCAAATGAAAGTGAAAGATGTTACCCCTCCAAGTGGTTTATGCACTTCAGAAAATACTACCTCATATCTATGAATGGCAAATGTGGCTCAGGCCTCAGCTAATTAGCATTAGTCTGATTTGTAATTGTTTCAGAGAACAGCATGACCTAATTTAATGCAATAAGAGTGAAGCCTGAGATTATAAATCAAAGGTTGAGGGAGTGAGCCAAACGTATGTTAATGAGAAGCAAGTAGCCTTGAGATCTGTTGGCAACAATTTTGGAACAACCAGGGAGAATCTTCTGAGAATTGGGCTGAGCTTTGGGGGGTTGCTTCTTACACAGCATAATCACAGTGCAAACCTAATTAATACACCAAAGATAGTAATAGATTAAGTTACAGATATCTGAGGTCGAGTCTCCTGACCTACCCTCATGTTAGAATATTATCAGCAAAAAGTAAGATAAGATGTACCAAAGCAGGGTAATGACATCCTTAGTGCTAGAAGAAACAAATTCTCTTTCTGTTAGGTTGCTAAGCTTGGAAAAATTGAACCTGGGACCAGTGACCATCTTCCCAGCCATAGTAAAAAGCCTGTTTGCAGAATGAAGCTGAACAGAGACAGACCATGGATGAGAGAGAGGTAGAGTCAGTGAGAGAGACAGAGAGAGAGAGAGCAAAAAGCAATAAGGCATCAGGTGCAGTGGCTTGTGTCTGTAATCCCAGTGACTGGGGAACCTGAGGCAGGAGGATCACTTGAGCCCAGGAGTTTGAGGCTGCAGTGAGCAATAATGATGCCACTACACTCCAACCTGTGTGACAAGAGTAATACTCAGTGTGTAAAATAATTAAATTAAAATAATAATTTGTTTTAAAAAAGCAAAAAGCAAAACTGAGAGAGCGTGAATATAAGAGAAAGCAGGACGGAATGAGCAAGTAAAAAGTAAAAGAGAGAAAAAGAAATGGGCCAGGCACCATGGCTCACACCTGTAATCCTAACACTTTGGGAGGCTGAGGCTGGTGAACAACCTGAGGTCAGGTGTTCGAGACCAGCCTGGCCAACATGGCAAAACCCTGTCTCTACTAAATACAAAAATTAGCTGGGCTTGGTGGTGAGTGCCTATAATCCCAGCTACTCTGGAGGATGAGGCAGGAGAATCGCTTGAACCTGGGGGGCGGAGGTTGCATTGAGCCGAGATCATGCCACTTCACTCTAGCGTGGGCAAAAGAGCGAAACTCCATCTCGAAAAAGTAAAAATGAATTAGAAAAATTGCTTTTACATAGATAAAAATTTAACTTTTGCAGATGCATATTTTAGATAACACTGACTCTTTGGCAACCATTTTTCAAACATGAAATAATGACAGAAATTATATACTTATTTTTTCAGCAATTAATCAGTACCAGATACTGTTAGATGCTCTCATTAAAAATCTGTAAGTCGACCTTAGGATTGTTAAGATGAAAATAATTAACATGTAAAAAATACAATGTACTGTGTAAGAGCTGTTATAGAGAGAGAGATAATATGTGCTTTGGGAATACAAAAGAGAGAGAAATTAACTCTGCAAGGAAATGGGAATAAGGAAGCATATGGAAAAGAGTTTTCTTTAGATGTAGCAAGAAAACAAAGGAAAATAGAAGTTGCCTGGCAAATAAATTATGAATGAGGACAAGTGAAAGGTTTACATTGGTATCAGAGGCTTTAAATTTATATAAATTGGATTAATGTACTAGCCCTGATTACCAACATCCTGTGTGCTTAAACAGGAAAATTAAAACCTGCATTCAAATGTCTGCTACTAATATAACTCATGATTTTCTTCAGTCTTTTCATTTTAGTTAAAGATTTAAATTATGCAAAACATAATTTTGTATTGTGGAATGGTCAGACTACGGATTTTCTTAAAGTCAAAAAGATCTGGTTTAAATCTTGCTTCTACCATTTTACTAGCTTTATGGTCTTGAAAAAATATTGTTTGAGTTGTCTCAGTTTCCTTGTTTTTTTTTTATTTTATTTTCATAGAGATGGGGTCTCACTGTTTTGTCCAGGCTGGTCTCCAACTCGTGAGCTTAAGCAATCCTCTCACTTCAGCCTCCCAAAGTGCTGGGATTAAAGGCATGAGCCACCATGCCTAGCCTGTTTTCTCATTTGTAAGATAAAAGAAATATGCTTACTTCCTACAGTTATGATGTATACATTGACTAGCACAGTGTCCATGGCCTGGTTAAACAACCAATAAATGGTAGTTGTTAATATGAAGGTAGAGAAAAAGAGGTTTTTATTTGTTTATCGGTTTATTTCTGTAGCAAGAGCAATGGGATTCTGAATGAATAGAAGGCGCCAAAGGCACACTTTGCCTTTTCTATGCTTTTGCTTAGGACAAGATGCAGATTTCAACAACACTGTGGCATGCAATGGTGGAGATGAGGTGCAAATGTATCCCCATGTGTCCAGTGTTTCTGGAGAAATAAAGATCACATGTAGCATATTAATGTTACATCAACATTTGATCTCTTCAGATGATTCTTTCTGGATTTTTGTTTTTACCGACTATAACTTCTCTTCTTATGACTGGTCCTTAGAGAGCTAGGCAAGGGAACTGCACAGACACTTCGGGCAAATGAGAAGTTATCTTAAAGGTGAATATTTACAAATTCTGTATCCTGGACTACTTAGCAAAGCCGTATTTACCAGATCCTGTTTTGAGAGCAGTTTATGACTGACACTTAAAAGGATTTTTTAAAATCCTTTAAAAATACACATACAATGAGTACAAACTGAGCCAGAGCGCTATTTTTTATGTGTTTTATCAGCATGTTAACATTCCTTAGCTGTTCGTTTCAAGGGGACAATAGGGCCTTAACCATGTCGATATGTGCTGGACTCTTCCACAGGGCAGTACACTGTGCTGCCTACATTGTGGACAATATAGCGACGTTCTTAAAGTTTCTTCACTTTGCTTAGACCAAACATAAGACCGCACCCTTAAAATAGGTTAGAGTGAAATTGCATTTCAATTTCTATTTTTTCCAAAATTTAGTTTATGTAGTTAATTGGTGAAAAGTACTATATTTTCTGATATGATATATTAGTTATAAACCTGAAGGACATTTTTCTGCTGCTAATGTAATTACGTTACATTAACAGCATTCAACTCTATTTTCAACACTGAAGATCTCAGCCACAAAGCATGCTGAAGAAAAGTGCCAGGCCATGAGGCAGTTTAATGAAACTACTTCTGTTTTTCACCCCGACTCTTTGAAAGTGTAAATGCCCATGCTTTCTGGGGCATTCCAACTCTGAAAGGCAGTTTTTCTTTTTCTTTTTCAGTTTTCAGTGTATAGTAGTATACTACCATGAGACTATTTATGAAACTTCTGACGTAGCAGTTTTAAAACCAACATTTATCTTTCAAATATGAAATACTCAAATATTGCTTTGTGTACTTAACAGGGTTGGGCTCTGCACTGCAACCATACCAAAATATTTTTGGTTCTTTCATGATTCCTGTTGACCTCAGGCTTCACTCATGCTGAGCTGCTGGGAACCCTCTTCCTGCCCATGGCTTCTCAACTCCTATTCACTATCCAAGGTTCAGTTCAGTTACTTCTTCCTCCAGGAAGCCCTCTCTGATGCCTCAATTCTGAATTAGATGGCATAGATTCCTGTACACGCCTCACATTGCATTGTAGTTGCCTCTCTACTTAGCTGAAAACTCACTGGACTGAGTTTTCTGAGATCAGAGACACTGTAACATTTACAGAGTGTATTTAGAGCTGGAAGGGACACAGTTGCTTTTCAATAAGTATTTGTTATGGTGTATTTTATTTTTGTTAGTAGGTATTCATCTTTTTGCCCAAAGTTCAGTATATGTTTCCCTCACCCATTAACTTCGGGTGTGGCCCTATGGTTTGGTTTAATCAATGGAAAGTGAGCAGATCTGACCTGCAGCATGCCTGGGCAGAAGATTGAGATGCACTTGCATGGTCTGACATTCCTCCTGTTCTTCCTGCTTCCCACAGTCAGAAAAACATGTTTCTGTTAGTGGTTACTCCTCAGACTCAGTTCAGACAGTGAAGACACATAATGCAAGCTGAGCCAAAAAGAGCCCAGCAGAGTCCAGTAACATGAACAACAAACTATTTGGTGCTGTAAGTTGCTGACATTTGGAGATGGTTTGTTGCCACAACATAAATTGACTAATAAATAAATTAGTACATAGAAATAAGGTACTAGTGTAACAACGACAACTCAAAAAAATCAACAAAACTAAAATCTATGATATTTGCACCATGGCTATTATAGAAGCCCAGATGTTTCATGAGGCCAGAAAAATGACAACCTATACCTGTACTACGCAATGGTGAAAATTTTAGTAAAACTGTCACCTGAGATAACTTGAAAGGCAAAGAAATTTCAAGACAGAATGTTGGTAGTCCAAAATTGCTTTTTACGCTCTATAAGAAAGAGGAACTCAGAAAAAGAATTGGCCTGTTTGCAAATGAGAATGGAAGGGAAAAGGAGAATCTAAAATCCAGAGACAGAATTGAAAGATACAAGTGTTTCTCATCTCTAGTCAGAGAACTATTTTCAAATTATGACAAAATTTCAGTGTAAAGACCAAGACAAAGCATGGCTAGTTGTTTTCTAATTATGTGTACATTGTCTTACACGAAAAAATTTTAATGATTTTTACTGAATTTGAAGCACATCAGAAATTTAGCAACTTAAACAAATTCTGAATATGAAAGTACCAGAGTAATATGTGAACAATTTTAGGGATAATTTCAAATAGCATTTAAAGGAAATATTGGGAGAAGTGGAAACTTTTGTTATCCCTTAGCTTTTAGATGCCCATTATAAGGATCAGAAAATGAGAGCATAGAATTCAAAGAGGTGATGGAAAAAATAAATATATGAAATTTTTAAAAGAAAATGAGCAATTATGCAAAGTTCATTGTAAAGTGCCTATGAAAACATTTTTAGCATCCCTCACAATATAAAATTAACCTTTTCATCTTATTAAGGAAAGTATACCCAATTAATAATAATAACATCAATAATAATAAAGACCCAATCTTGGGGACAAGCAACAAATAAAGACTGTGATCACCACACCATTTGTTAAGACCTCTGATTCTTTTAAAGTGGTCCCCTGTAAATCATTTCACTTGCACAATATGGCTCAGGGTAAAGAGAATATAGATTTGGCCCAATGGAAGCCAACAGAGTCGAAATTCCTATAATTTAACCTAGAGGAATGTCTTCTAATCATGGATCTGGCTATTGGCAGGAGGTGTTAACAAGAAGCAAAGATATTAAAGAAACCAACAATGTTTTTCAAAGATTTGCAGTACCCAAAGTGCTACCAGTTTGAGTGAAACAGCTTATGATTGAGCAGTAAAACTGCCCTCAAGCCCTCGACTTTCTATGAGCAGCCTGAATAGCTACTCATCTTCTAAGAAGTGCATTTTCTCCTGAAGAGGATATTGGAAAGGAAGGCTCTCCCAGAAGGTGATGCCAAGAGCCACGAAAAATCATGGACTCAGAAGCTACCTCCAGAAAACAAAACTAAGGATTGATGAAGCAGTTTCCTACTCCCAGGTTAGTGGAGCTACTAAAAATTGCTCAATGGGACTCCGGAATTGCTGTGGACCCAGTGATTGCTGGGTTCTCCCATCCTTCCTGTGTCTAAATGAGACTTTATTACGGATTTTCTCATTTTATGTTGCATATATGTAGTTCAAATAGTAAGTCTTTTAGTTTATATGACTTTGGAATAGGAATTTTCACCATTGCATAGCTACATTTGGGCATGAGGTATTATCAAGATCCTGGATTTCAAGTTAGATCCTCTGATTGGATGTGACTTTGGATCTTTGGGATAAAGTGATTACATTTTGCCTACAGGAAGGAAGTGAACATTTGTTAAGAAGAAGAAGGCTGTGGTCGATTTCACTACTTCACAAATACTCGTTCCCTCTGTACCTTTGCCATCCTTCATTGTGAGCAAAATCTGTTTTCCTGCCCCACTGACTTTGGTCTAGGTCATATTACTTTCTTTGGCCACTAGAATATCTGAGTAGAAATTTTAAATGTGCTTGCATATTTCACTCAGCATAGTACTAACTCTCTTGATTTTGCCCTGCAGAATGAGAACAGCTTGTCCAAGACAGTGGCTTACTCCTTCAGCCTGGGCTATGGAGTAAAAAGATACTTGTCATGAAGCCAAGGTCTCACTCAACCAAGCTCAGCTAGACTGGGCAGAGCTACCACTCTCTCAAACTTGAGCAAGTAATATGTTTGTTGTTATAAGTCACAGAGATATTAGGGTTGTTTATTACTACAGAAAAAGCTGGCTAACCCAAGTTCTAAATGAATTTGTTATGGAAAATAAAAAAGGAAGAATTATAATGTTTATAAAAATGCCTGGTTTATGTAAGAAACCAATTAAGGGTCTGAATGTACATAACTAAATAAATTCTTAATCAGAATTACTTGTAGGTAGAATTTATGGAGCTACTAGTTCAGCTGCTTGGTTATTTGGCTACTTAGGCAGCAGTTTCAACCTAAAACCAAAAGGAGTGACCCTAGACTTAGTGGGATACGGAAGATTTTGATAGGCTGTTCAGGTACTTTCCTTTCTCTAAGGAAAATAAAACAAAAAATAAAAAGCCAAACTAATTAGGAAGTATCTATGGACTCCAAATCTAAAAGAAATACGAGAATATATTAGAAGAGGGATAATTGATTCCAAAGCTGTTGATACTTAAGGAAGAGCCTCTCAGATTTAAAAAAAGAATTGCCAAAGTTGAATGGTTGAGATTGACTGCTTAATGTATACAACTTAAGTCTTAAGAAATTGCACTTGGCATGGAACTCAATTATATATTGTTTGTTCTTTGACTTTTCTTCATCCTGTAGTAAAGATTACTTTTTAGGTGGAAAAATGACAAAGGAATTATACTTATAAATATATTTTGAATGGTATCCATGCATCACTGAGAAAAGAACTGAATTGATGGATGTTGTGGCAAAACCCCAGGGGATTATGAGTTCCAGAGTTAATTAAAAACTCCACATGCAGAAGGAAGTGTCTAAATAGTCTTACATAGGAAGGTCTGTCATCTGATGACAGGGCTGACTAACCTCATCATTCATCTTTCTAAATGTTTTTGCAATTGTGAGTGCTAGCATCATCAGTTATTTTAAAATTCTAGAAAGACATAGTTATAAGTACTGGTCCCATCTCATGAATTGCTAGTTTTGGGAACTTGTAAATAATTCATCATATTCATAAAAATAATAGAAATGAAAAGAGATTAACATATATATGTCCACAACTGTCCTTGTTAAAGAATTAATGTATTGAAATGTCAGTGAATCCACTTACTGAATAAGTATGTATTGAGTACTAACTGTATGCTAATCTGTTTACTACTGAAGAGTATTTTAAAAAGGACCATCTACTCCAGGAGCTCGTAATGTAACAAGTCTGTCAAGATTCATGCTTGTGAAATAATTAACTAATACACTTATGGTAGTAAATAATTCTTGTGTTAAAAAGAATGGTTCTGGAAATAAAATCTTTGGACACTTGGAGACAGATAAATAGAAGGAGAGCTAGATAGAAATCTTTACAATCTCATAGGGGAGTTTGACTTAAGAGGAATTTGATCTTACAGATGAGTGAGATCTAAGAGCCAGAACAAAGGTATAGACATATGTAAGCAGTACAAGAGAGTAACAACATTAGTGCCTTAAGAAGACTAAATTGCTGAGTGGCTTAGTGCTAAAGGATATATAAGTTATGTGACATATTTACACCTGAAAACTTCTGCATGCTTCAGAGACGGTGGTGTTACAGAGACTATGGCTAGCACAAGGAGAATGAGGACAAGCCTGTCAGTTGGGGTCACAGGGCCTCTAGCATCTTTGGTGTCTTTTACTAACTCAGTGGATATCACAGTCAGCAAAAAAGAAGCATTGCTGGGACACTAAGGACTTGCCTTGATTTGAGGAGTTTGAGTAAGTTCTGGTTGACAAGTACCAGATTATGAGATCCCACTGTATGAATGAAAATAATAAAACAAGTTTCATGAACATACATTGTCCATGTGTTCACTGACACAGAATACATTCTTTATTTGCTTGAATGGGTAATACGTTTGTAGGTACTAGTAGCCTTTGGTTCTCGAGAGAGCACAGCCAAGAGATTCTCTAGGCCAACAGCTTTCCACATTTTTTACTGTGATCCACAGTAAGAAATACACTTTAAGTCACAATCCAATAACACATTCATAACTATGTCTATATTAATATATACTAAGCATTTAAAATTATTATAAAACCATACTCACTTTATATTAATATTTATCTGACTAGGAATTAGGCTGTGTTTACTGTTTATTGTAGTTGTGGAGTCAGAGGCTGACATCTCCTTTAGTGTCTTTGCTTTTGCCTCCGCTGTTATCTGTGAGTTTTCATAGAGACTCCTTCAGTAGGGCCTGAGACTTACAGCTCTTTGAGCTGTAATCCCCAAGGAGGGAAAGCATTTCAGTCCTATGATTAAGTCTGTCTTATAGTGAGCTTGAGTTGGGTGTTTCCTTCCTCCATGCAGGTTATGGTTTAGAAAAACCTCAGCCAGTTAGGATCTGGTAAACAGTTTCCCTTGAGGGTAGATTTTCTTAAGAGGAACAGATAACTCTGGATGTATTTTTAAAACAATTACTCTTCCTTCTTCCTGCATGAGGGGATTTTTCTTCCATCTTTACAATGAGAACATGATAGGGCTCCTGGAGGTAAAACTCACAAATGTGTGGAAGTCCACTTAACATTGGATGCTTGAAATTTTTAACTCAAACTAGTCTACACTAAACAGCCAGCAATTCATCAATTACTGTTTAAAATATACCTACCAATAATGGCTCCAGCTTCCAGCTTCTCCTGTTGAGTTTCTGCTCCTGGTAAACTGTGATTCTCTATATCCACCTGTCTGTCCCTTTAGTTTTGGGGGGAAGCAATTTATCTTTTCACATCACTTCTCTGATGAATCTAAGAAGAATTGATTTTCAGTTTGTTCAGTTCCTTTTTCTTATTATATGGGAATGAAAACTTTCAAGCTCTTTTAATACTTACTTTGTTATGTGCAATGCATGCTATTATTTTCTATTCTATATTATTGTATTGTATTTTATTTTAAAAGTTTCTGCTTATGCCCCATGAAACTATTATGGTTAAATAAGTGCTAAAAGGAAACACAATTGAATTTTTCTATAGCCTGAAAGTGGAGAAAACTATGACTCTAGAAGCAATTAAAATAATAAATTTGATTAGATAATAATTTTAAATGTGACAATTAAAACATGTAAAAATAAAGACAAATGACTAACTGGGATAAAAATTTGCAACATACATCACAGATAAAGGGTTGCTATCTCAAATATATATATAAACTTTTAAAACTAAAAACATGACAAAAATGAGCTAGAAATAAGAACAGAGCTTATAGGGAAAATAAATATATATGGCTCTTAAATGTAAGAAAATATTTTACCCCAAGTCATACCAATAGAAGTGCACTTTAAAACTTCACTGAGTTATTATTTATTTCTTATCAGATTGGAGAAAATCCAAAAGTCTGATAACATACTCTGTTGACAAAGCTGTGATGAAACAGGAACCCTAATATGCTGTTTATGGAAATACAAAATGTTACCACTCCTATAGAGTACAAATACATAGCAAAATTATGCATAATTAGCAATCCCATTTCAAAGAATCTACCACAAAGATACCCTGGCAAAAATTCACAAAGTTAGGTTCCCAAGGAATTCACTGAAGTACTATTTGTAATAGCAAAGACTAGAAATAACCCAAATGTTTATCAACAGGGATGGGTTAAATGAAACCATCCTACATCAACACAATGGAGTACTCTGCAGCTATAAAAAGGAATGAGTAATATCTCTAGATATTATGATCTCTAGGATGTAATCAAGTTTTAAAAGGAGTGTTTATGATATGCTGACATTTATGAAAGTGAGGAAGAAACAACAAATTCCGGTGAGAACGTAGAGCAACAAGAATTCTCATTCATTGCTGCTGAGAATATGAAATGGTATAGCCACTTTGGAAAACAGTTTAGCAGTTTCTTACAAAACGGAACAAAATCTTACCATACTCTTCAGCAATCACTCCTTAGAGTTTATCCAAATGAATTGGAAAGTCCTGTCCATACAAAAACTTTCACACAAATGTTTATAACAGCTTTGTTAATAATTGCTGAAACTTGGAAGCAATCAAGATGTCCTTCAGTGGTGAATGGTTAAATAAACATTGGTACATTCAGACAACAGAATAATATTGAGCATTAAAAAGCAATGCACTATCAAGCCATGAAAAGACATGGAAGAAACTTAAGTGCAATTTACGAAGTGAAAGAAGCCAATCTGAAAAGGCTACATACTGTATGATTTCAACTATATAAAACTCTGGAAAAAGCAACACTGTAAAGAAAATAAACGGGTCAGTGGTTACCAGGAGTTGGCAGATGCAGAGGGATAAATAGGTAGAGCACAGATAATTTTTAGGGCATTGAAACTAGTCTGTATGACATTCCTGTCCTGAGTAAAATGATGAGTGCAGGTCATTCTATGTCAAAAACCCATAGAATGTACCAAGAGCACACCATAATGTAAACTATGGACTTTGGGTGAAAATGGGTCAAAGTAGTTTTATTGATTAAAACAAATGTACCATTCTGGTGCAGGATTTTGATAGTGAGGGAGGCTGTGCGAATGTGGGACAGGGAGGATATGGGAAATCACTGTGCCTACTGCTCATTTTTACTATAAACCTAAAAATTCTCTAAAAAAGAACAGTCTTTCTAAAAAAAAAAAAAGTCTATTTTTTAAAAAACGGAAAATGAAAGAAGGGAATCATAAACCATACAAATGGTTACCAACAATAGCAAAAGAGAATAGAGTGGAGAGGATGGAAATAGAATATGAATTTCTTTGAAAATTCCTTACTATATACAGTTGATTTTGGAAGTATGTAAATATTTTATGTAATTATAAGACAAAAATAAAGTTGAGAGGGAAAATCAAGTTTTAAAAATAAAAAATAAAGTTGAAGAAACAAGTGGGGTAGGTGCTGTGGTTCACACCTATAATCCCAGCACTTCGGGAGGACAGGGTGGGAGGATCACTTGAGCCCAGGAGTCCCAGACCAGCCTGAGTAACATGATAAGACACCATCTCTACAAAAAATTAGAGAAATTGGCTAGGCATGGTGATGCCTGCCTGTGGTCCCAGCTACTTGGGAGGCTGAGGCAGGAGGATCCCTTGAGCCCAGGAGGTCAAGGTTGCAGTGAACCATGGTTGTGCCACTGCATCCCAGCCTGGGTGACACAGTGAGATCCTGTTTCAAAAAAAAAAAAAAAAAGTCAAGAAACAAATGAGTGTAACATACCTAGTTTACTAACATAAACATACATGGAGGAACTATGTCAAGTGATTTAAAATACAGTAATTTGACTTTATATCTTTCAAATTACATGACCTAAGAACAAGGACAAAGGATCTGCAACGAAAGGTCTGACATATTTTATTAATCATATTATGTGTAGCTAAATTTATATTATTATTTTGTAGTGTACAAAAGCAAATGAGTAATTATGTTGGCATAAGAGATTTTTTGCATAGAAAAAGATACACATTAAGTTATAGGAGGTTAAGGAAAATCTCTCTAGCCCAAAATTTGAATTAAAAACATCAGTATGAACTCATCTATTTTTTAAAAATGTATTTAACTTTTTTCTAGTTTTCTAATTGTGTCTACTACAAAATTTCAGAAGCAACAAACCTAGTGTCAATAAGCATCCTTAAAACACAGAACATGGTGTCTTAGCACCATTTTCCAAAAAAAAGAAACTAGCACTCTTTGGATAGATGGGTAATTCCAGATCTGAAACAGGAAATGTATTGATGAGCCTGCAACATCTTGTCAAGCAGAAAGCAATGAAGTTATCAAAGACTACTAGGGACTCTCTAGAGAGAGAGCGAGAAGAGAAATGTTCAATAAAAAGAACTTAAAAAGAAACCTGTATTTTAAAAAGAGAATAAAAAGACACATCAACTAGTTGTAATATGTAGACTTCATTTGAATCCTTATTCTTTCTTTCTCTCTCTCTTTTCTTTTCTTTTCTTTTCTTTTCTTTCCAGAGAAAGGGTCTTGTTCCATCGCCCAAGCTGGAGTGCAGTAGTATAATCACAGCTTACTGTAGCTCTAATCACCGAATGGGTTCACCTTGCGCACTACCCAGACAGAGCCAATTTCTCAAGACAGGGGAATTGCAACAGAGAAAGAGTAATTCATGTATTGCTGGCTGTGTGGGAGATCAGTTTTATTATTACTCAAATCAGTCTCCCCGAGCATTTGGGGAGCAGAGTTTTGAAGGACAACTTGGTGGGTGGGGGAGAAGCCAGTGAGCTTGGAGTGCTGATTGGTCAGAGATGAAATCATAGTGAGTCAAAACTGTCTTCTTGTGCTGAGTCAGTTTCTGGGTGGGGGGGCCACAAGGTCAGATGAGCAAGTTGATTGATCGGGGTGGTGCCAGCTGATCCATCAAGTACAGGATCTGCAAAAGATCTCAAGCACTGATCTTAGGAGCAGTTTAAGGAGGGTCAGGATCTTGTAGCTTCCAGCTGCATAACTCCCAAACCATAATTTCTAATCTTGTGGCTAATGTTAGTCCTACAAAGGCAATCTAATCCCCAGGCAAGTAGGAGGTCTGCTTTGTGAAAGGAATGTCTTTGTTTTACACTATAAACTAAATTTTTCCCAAAGTTAGTTCGGCCTACACCCAGGAATGAACAAGGACAGCCTGGAGGTTAGAAGCAAGATGGAGTCAATTAAGTTAGATCTCTTTCACTGTCTCAGTCATAATTTTGCAAAGGTGGTTTTGTAGCCTTTAATTTCTGGGCTCAAGCAATCCTCCTGCCTCACCTTGGCCTTTCAAAGTGCTGGGATTATAGGCATGAACCATCATGCCCAGCCTGGACCTAATTTTAAAAAACAATTTTTAAAAATTACATTTATGAGACAATTGAAAATATTTGTAAGAATATTTCTGATGTTTAAAAATTATTTGCTGAGATAATGATATTGAGATAATATTTGAAGAAAAATATGCATAGATACATACATTCATATATAAACACACACACACACTGAAATATTTGCAGATAAAATTATATGAGACTCAGAATTAACTTCTAAATATTTTAGGGAAGGGGTAGAAAAGAATGTGGGTATTTAAATGAAACAAAATTGGCTATGAGTTGCTAACTGCTGGATTGTTGAAACTGTGTAATATATACTGTCTCATTTGTACCCAAGGGATTTTAATTTATGGAGGTGACTAAGTGCTGGCACAAAAAGGCTAAAGCCATGGAAAGATTTTTATTACTTAATTTTCTGAAAGGAGGGGGCATGTTATGCCACACAGGGCCATAGGGGAAGCACCAGTGTGGTCAGGAGGCAGAAGACAGGAGCAAGAGAAAAATCTAGCCCAGAGCCTTTATTTGGGGTTTCCATGGAAAAGGCAAAGTATAGCAGAGTAAACAGCTTAAGACTGGCCAGTTTGAATAATTCTGGTGGGCTCCGAGCTATAGAGATGGTCTCTAGTTGACTGGTACCTGGCCTTGGGATGATTTTGAGCAGGGGAAATATTGGCTTAATGCATGAGAAATAAAGAGATGGTTGGTTTGCATATAAGAGTCATGCTCCCAAGTAAGTTGTTTATGACCTTTAAGTATTAACAGGTCTCGGCTGGGAGTGGTGGCTCATGCCTGTGATCCCAGCACTTTGGGAGGCCAAGGCAGGCGGATCACCTGAGGTCGGGAGTTTGTGACCAGCCTGACCAACGTGGAGAAACCCCATCTCTACTAAAAAAACAAAATTAGCAGAGTGTGGTGGCGCATGCCTGTAATCCCAGCTACTTAGGAGGCTGAGTCAGGAGAATTGCTTGAACTCAGGTGGCGGAGGTTGCAGTGAGCCGAGATCATGCCATTGCACTCCAGCCGGGGCAACAAGAGTGAAACTCCATCTCAAAAAAAAGAAAAAAATAAAGAATTAACAGGTCTTGGGAAGGGCAGTCTCTCCCCAGGTATGTAAGGCCCCCAAATGCCAGAGCATCGAGAACACAGGAAAGAAAATATAGATAAGAAAGTTGCTCTGTGCTGGGCGCAGTGGCTCATGCCTGTAATCCCAGCAGTTTGGGAGGCTGAAGCAGGTGGATCACTTGAGGTCAGGAGTTTGAGATCAGCCTGACCAATATGATGAAACCCTGTCTCTAATAAAAGTACAAAAATTAGCTGGGTGTGGTGGTACATGCCTGTAGTCTCAGCTATTTGGGAGGCTGAGGCAGGAAAATTGCTTGAACCTGGGAGGTGGAGGTTGCAATGAGCCAAGATCACACCAGTGCACTCCAGCCTGGGCAACAGAGCAAGACTCCATCTCAAATAAAAAATTTTAAAAAAAAAGTTTGTCCTGTGATAAATGTATGCTAAATAGATAAAGAACCTAAGAAAACACAGACCACATACATGATGTACATTATACTGTTTTCTCTAGTATTATATATTTTGAGATTTTTCAAAATAAAAAGTTTTTAGTAAACTAGGAAGAGCATTAGATAGCATGAGTGGACTGTGTTTCCAAAGAGCGTTACAATAGCACCCATTATATTGGGAAAAACTCTCAAGCCGCATCTTTCCTCCACTCTCACACCAACCACAACAATCAATACAGAAGACTGCCATGATCAAATATGTGTGTGGGTTTCTCCTCCCAACACCAAGCAGCAGACACTAGCTAGATGTCTTCCAATTCAATTCTGACACTGTTTACCTGGAGAGAGTGTCAGGTTCCACAGGCCAGGGTCTCAGTTCACAAGACTGCACCTGCTCCCTTCAGACACCAATCTCAAGTCTGAGCTTCTGGAACTTCTGACCTGTTGCGGGAAGCCAGGGACCCCAAACGGAGGAACTTCTGAAGCCGTGACAGAAGAATATAAATTGTGAAGATTTCATTGACATTTATCACTTCCCCAATCAATACTCTTATAATTTCCTATGCCTGTCTTTAATCTCTTAATCCCGTCATCTTCATAAACTGAGGATGTGTGTCGCCTCAGGACC